TTCTCCCACCTCCTTTTCCCAGTCTCCCCCAGTTTTGTTCAATAAAGACAGAGTCAATGTTGGGAGAAATGTTATCTTTATTTTGTACATCAATAAGAAGGGGGGCTAGGGAAGGGTAAGTGGAAGGAGGTGAGGGAGGAATGGGGTACGAGCCCCCGATGGGGAGGACTGGGCTGGCTCTGCGGGCTTCTGGGGGTGGAAGCTCTCCTGCAGCCCCCCAATTGCCCCCTCTCCCCAGATGGCAGCCTGCGGCAAGTGCAGCCGGGCTGATGGCCGAGTGGTGTGATGTGCTCAGTGTGGGCACTCCGGGCACTCCAAGCCAGGACTGGTTTTCAAGCGGGGCACCCCTGAGAACTGTCTGTCTGGGGTGGGGGTCGGGACCCTTTAAGCACAGCCCTCGGCTAGCCTGAGACATCATCTCCACGCTCTAAGTCCTCCTCTGATGCCCTACCGGCACTGCTTCCGGCCATCCTTAAGCCCTGTTCAGGGTCCACTTAATGTGGACATGCTAGTTCGAATTAGCAAAACGCTAATTCAAACTTGTTTTTAGTTCTAGACGCGTTAGTTCGAATTAGCTTAGTTCGAATTAACTAATTCGAACTAAGTTCGTTCGAATTAGCGCTGTAGTGTAGACGTACCCTATTAGACTATTCCCAGTATTAACTCCTGGGTACTCCATAACTGCTCTTGCATCCACTCACAATAAACACCTCCCATTACTTAAATAGATTCCATTAGCAACAATATTTTTCTATCTATTCTTCAGCCAGAGTTTCCCAAAACCCAATTCAATTAGGTACAGATCACAATTATCTACTACTTTATTGCCCTTTTTTCAAAAGGTTATCATCATGATTTTCCTCATAGAAATGTTGATGGATTAACCTTATTTGGATGTATTTAAGTGTTGTACTAATCAATCTTTTAATTAGATTACCAATCATTTCTACAGAACTAAAGTGAGGTTTACCAGTCGGTAATTCTTGGAATCTTGCTTTTTTCCTCCCAAAAGAGACAAAAAATTAGTAGCTTTCCAGACTTCAGAAAGAGTTACAGTTTTTAAGGAGTTATGACAAAGTCTTATAGGGTCTTGCTCTCGGGATTCAACAATAAGGATCACATGCTCATAAGTGCATACTATTTTAATCTGTACAGCCTTCAGAATCCTAGCACACACACACACACACACACACACACACACACACACACACACAAAAATCTATATTTACAGAACCAGATTTTATCCATTTGCTCCATTCGAAAGATGTCTGTCTGTCAGAGCCAAAATTCAACTTCCCCTAAAAGTGTTGCTGGAGCAGGAACTTTTATATTATCTTATTTTAATATCACCATTTTTTTCAATTGCCTCTCTCCTTTTCAGCAGTTTAGAATGTTTACAGTCTGTCCATCACACACATTACCATCCTATCTGAGACTGTCTGTATCAGTCACATTTGAAGGCTTAGGGCTTTTAATGTATCTGGAGAATTTTTAATTATTTACTTCATGCCTTTGACTATGTTCTTCATATTTTCTAAGAATTTTATGGGACAAAAGGAGTCTTGCTTGGCTTGGCCTCCAACTGTGTGTGACTTTCCATATGCAAACACTAAATTAAATGGTAATTTAATTCATTTTTCATCAAAAACAATAAAAGCAACTAAAATAAACTGTTTTATGCTGGCAGTGGAATCACATTCTCAGAATGATATGTACAGGCAGTCCCCGGGTTACGTACAATATAGGGACTATAGGTTTGTTCTTAAGTTGAATTTGTATGTAAGTCGGAACTGGCTCCAGATTCAGCCGCTGCTGAAACTGATCAGCGGCTGACTACAGGAAGCCCTAGGCAGAGTTGCTCTGCCCCCGGCTTCTTTATGCTGGCAGTGGAATCACATTCTCAGAATGATATGTACAGGCAGTCCCCGGGTTACGTACAATATAGGGACTATAGGTTTGTTCTTAAGTTGAATTTGTATGTAAGTCGGAACTGGCTCCAGATTCAGCCGCTGCTGAAACTGATCAGCGGCTGACTACAGGAAGCCCTAGGCAGAGTTGCTCTGCCCCCGGCTTCCTGGAAT